AAGGAGGAAATATTTATAACAGATAGGATAATTATTTTAAAATATGTGAAGGGATATCACGTGAAAGATTGACTAAGCCAAACAATAAAGGCAGGACTGGTGAGTATCAGATGTAAAGCGTCAGATTTCAGCTTCTTTTAAAGATCAAAGTTCATAATGATTACAACTCTTCATCATTAGAATGTGCTATCTCATAAGGTGCTATCTTTGGAAGTCTTCAAACAGGGTCTGGTATGATAAGTTGTCAGAGATGCTACAAAGAGGATTTTTCTTTGGATTTCAGCTCCATTATATGGTTTCTGAGAGTCTTTCCATCTCTGAGACCTTATTATCATCATCAGCTCTTTCAAGTTGTTCCCATAACACCACTGATGTGTTCTGCCCCATCCCCCCAAAAAATCTCACACATTTTGTAGTCCTTTGTTTTAAGGTTAACTCCCTACTAATCCCTCCTCGACTATTACTTAAATCTTTAACAAGGTAAATATGTCATTGTCTCTTTAGATTAACATGACTTCATGAAAAGAAACCTGCATGAAAATGTTTGTTACAAGCCATTTGGTTTCAGTGATTTCATCTCTATCTTCTTTTTTAGATTGATGCTAATGGTGACCTCAGAGAATTCTTACATTCAAAGGAACATGAAGGAAAAATTGTGGGAACCTTTGTATAACCCGGTTTTACAGATAAATGTCCTCTAGCACTTTGTCTAATATCTATCTAATTCATAAAAAAAGGTTGAAGAAGCAGTAAGTACCATGTCCTTCTGGGACAAGTTGATAAGATGTATGATGTAATGAGGGGCAGTGTCATTATGTTCTAACGCATATGATAGATAGAAAACTCCCTAGGGATTATCTATTGAGTTATAAAAGGTCAAAGTGATCCATGTTAATGGAAGGAGTTCCCTGTTCTGATAAAATCATAGTTCCTTCATTAATTTTCACATGTGACATGGTTTCTGTCAGGAAATCATGACTCACTGATGTGTTTGTAATTTTGCTACATGGATCCTGGGGAACCAGTGGAGGTAGCCTTCATATTTCTAAAAAGCTTTGATCAAGATTAAATATTTTAATGATATTTTTGCATGTGAAATCACTATGAAACCATGTGGGACAATTCAGGTGCATTTCTTGTGTCTTCTGAGGATAAAAATTTGTCAACAACACACCCATTTCTGTTTTATGCAATGAGTTTTTTTCTTCTTCAGTCCCTGGGGACATTTCATATCACTTTAAGCTTTTTTAAATGACTTATAGTATATGATATACAAGAATATCTCCAAGTTTTTCTAGGTCAAGCCAGGTCTGGTATTATTTGAGAATTCAAAGTGAAGAGACAAGTACTGGAATGGTAAAAAGTTGGTCAATAGCCTTCCTTTCACATCAGCATGTGTAGGAAGTAAATTGATAGAATAATATTCCAAATGATGCCTAAAATTGTTGACTTTTGATGCTTAATGCCTGAGACAACTCTGTAAGAATATGCATTGTAGAGTAGGTGATATTTGCATTGGTAGACACAATTTCTTACCTAGGGTTTCCCTACATCATTGAAATTATAGGTGTTCTGTCTCTGGCCACCTACTTCTTCCAAAATGTGTCACTTACCATGCTAGATGCTGAGAATATAAAGACAAAAAGGACAAGAGTACCTGTCCTCAAGGAAGTTCAGTGGAACCTAGTAAGGTGAGGAAAATTACATGTATACAGATTAGTAAATATTTGTGCATATGCTCATCAAGTTACCTAATGGATAAAGCAATATAAATTGCTTTAAAAGTTTAGCAAGCTGGAAATCCACTAACTGAAATGACAATCACAGAGATTTCTACTGTTGGGTGTAAAAGGCTTGGCCATTCACTCTCTTTCCTCTTCCTTCTCTCTTTATCAAAGCCTTGGGGAGAATTAGGAAACAGGAAACTGGACAGATAAACATGGCCTTTTCTTTCATTTAATTCTAGACTTCACTAAGGTAAAAATAATGTCTATTATTAAGCATCCCATTTTTTTTTCAAAACTAGCTTTTCTTGATTCCTGCCCCTCCCCACTGTGTTATCTTGTTGACTCTAATCCACACAGGAAGCAGAAATCCCACCTGAAATTTTCTAATCTTAATTTTCTCTATCTTTGCACAGAAGATTGAGGAGAATTGAGGAGGTGCCAAGAAGGAACCGTGACACAGAGATATCCTCCCCTATTTGACTGAAAGTACACCATTAGAGTTTAATTTGAGCATCTTTAAGAGTGATATCATAAAATGCTGACAACTGGGGAAGGAAATAGACTTAGAGTTATAAGAGACCTTAGAGATGATCTCTCCAAACTTTTCATTTTATAGGTGTTGAAAATGAAATCCAGCAAGTAATTTGTTCAAGAGATACACAGGTAGGATGCAAGCAGCAGAGGAAATATTTGAACTCTGGTCACTAGATTTCAAATACACCACTCTTTTCACTATACTGTGGGGCCCACATAACCCTTTGCTAGTCAGTTAGGAAGCATTTATTAAATGCTTACTATGGGCTAGGCCCTATGCTAAACTCTGGGAATATAAAGAAAATCAAAAACATGGTTTATGTCCCCAAGAAGCTCACATTATGTAGAGGGACTCAACATGCAAATATATATATATACATATATATGTATATGTATATATATATATACATACATATGTATGTGTATATATATACATATACATATATATGTATATATATATATATATATATATATAATCTGTGTGTGTGTGTGTGTGTGTTATATACCTCATAGGGTTAATCTCAGAGGGAAAACATGGAAGGAAGAAGTGAGGCAAAGAGGATACTATGAAAGGCCTTCTGTAGAAGGTGGAATTGAATTAGGCCAGGAAAACTGAGAGGTAGAAGCAAGAAAGAAAATTTATTCCTATTCTGCAGGACAGTGAGTGAAAAATAACAGAGATAGAAGATGGAGTGTTATATTTGAGGAACAGCAGATAAGTAAGAGGATTTATACCATAAAGCACATGGAGAATAGTAAAATGAAAGAAGACTATAATGGTAAGAAGAGATCAGGTTGTGAACAGTTTTAAATTCCAAATAGAGAACTTTCATTTTGGTTCAGGAGGTAATAAGGACCCACTGATATTTACTGAGTTGAGTAGAGACATGGGCAGACTTATTATTCTTGAGGAAAATCACGTGGCAACCATATGGAGGATAGCTGTGAATGGAAAAAGTCTTGACAGGGAGACCAATTAGAAGACTATTTCAGTAGTTCAGGCAAGAGGGGATAATGGCCTGAACTAGGATGATGTATTGTGAGTGGAGAGCAGGTGATATATAGGAGAGTTGCTGTGAAGGTAAAAATGACAAGATTTGTTAATTACTTGAATATGTGGAGAGAGCAGAACTAAGGATGACACTGAGGTTTGGTGCTTGGGTGACTAATGGTAGAATACTTGATAATAATAGGGAAGTTAGGAATGCAGAGAGGGTTTAGAGAGAAAAATAATGAGTTCAATTTTGGATATGCAGTTTGAGATGTCAACGAAACATCCAGTTCAAGAGATTGAATTAGTAGTTGGTGATATGGACCTGGGGCTCAGGAAAGATTATAAAGGTAGGGACAAAAATCTGTGGAATCACATGTATATATACACAAACACACACATATGTGTGTATATATATATGTACTTATATATGTATATGTATATGTATATATATATATATATATATATATATATATGTAAGTATATTGATAATAGGTATATAATATGCATGGTCTAATTATCTACCAAATATCAAATGAGACTGTATAGTGGAAAAGAGAAGAGCACCAACGGCAGCCTTAGGAGACACTTGTAGTTAGTAGGAATAACATAGATTGAAATTCATCAAAGTTGAATGAAGGGTGGCCAGAGAGGTAGGAGGAGAATCAAGGGAGACCATTGTCACCAAAACCTGAAGACAGAATGTCCAGAGGAAGGTGATCTGAAACATGAAATGCTTGGAGATAAGTAAAAAAAGGTTGAGGATTGTGAAAAGACCATAATATCTGGCAATTAAGAGATCATTGGCAAAGAGAATGATTTCAGAAAAACCTGGAAAGACTTACATGAACTGATGCATAATGAAGTGAACAGAACCAGGAGAAAATTGTACACAGTAACAGCAATATTGTTCAATGAAGAACTGTGAATGCCTCAGCTATTCTCAGCAATTCCAAGAATCCCAAAGAACTAATGATGAAGCATACTATCTGCCTCTAGAGAAAGAAGTGATATTGACTGAATGCAGACTGAAGCATGATAATTTTCACTTTCTTTCTTTCATTTTTTCTTCTTTCATTCGAGTCATCTTGTACAAAATGACTAATACAGAAATGTTTTGCATAATTGCACATGTATGACCTATCTGTTTACTATCTCTGAGAGGGAGGAAGGGAGAGAGGGAGGAATAAAATTTGGAGCTAAAAACTTTAAATAAAAATGTTAAAAAAAATTGGTTAAGAAAGAGATCATTGGTAACTTTGGATAGAGCAGTTTCAGTGGAATAATGAGGTCAGAAGACATCCTGAAGAGGGTTTGGAAGTAGATGATAAAACAAATATTACTGGCAACATGTTAGGAAGAGAGCAAAATCCTGAGAGGATGGAACGGGTAATTAGTTAGGTGGTATGGGGTGGAGAAAGGTATATGTAGAAGTGACATTTCCCCTTTCCCCCATTCTCTGGCCCCACCAGGTAGTTTTGCAGGAGAGCTGAGCTAGAAAACGGAACATGCCTCAGTCAATAGTTACTGATGGAGGCATACAAGTCAGGGGCAGGAGTCCGGAACTATTCTTGTTCTTAGGCTGCCTACATGGGCCAGGGTCCCAGAGTAACCAGAAGGAAGTCAGACAAAATTAGGTGGTTATAAAGAGGATCTGTGCTATTTCCCAAGACTACACTCAAACTATTTTCTCTAGCTTTTGATCTCTGATGAACTTTCTCTTTCTAGTCACAGAATTCTCTCTTGTGATGCTGGGCTCTCCCTCCAATCAAACATCACCAAATGCTGCTGCTTTCATCCTTGTGGGTGTCCCAGGACTGGAGACAATCCACCTTTGGCTGGCAGTTCCACTGAGTGTCATACTTACTGTGGCCCTACTTGGGAACATCCTTATCCTAACTGTGATCTGGGCAGACCCAGGCCTACATGAGCCCATGTACTATTTCCTATGTGTCTTAGCTGCTGTGGATATTATCATGTCAACCTCTGTGGCCCCCAAAATGCTGACTATTTTCTTTTCAGGCAATGGTGTCATTGGCTTTGCTGCATGCTTCATTCAGATGTACATTGTCCATGCAGCAACAGCTGTGGAGACAGGGTTGCTTCTGTCAATGGCCTTTGATCGCTATGTGGCCATCTGCAAACCTTTGCACTACCAGACCATCCTCACCCCCTGGACAATGCTGGGCATTGGTGTGGCCATTATTGTGAGAGCAATTATGGTCATGACACCACTGAGCTGGTTGGTAGTCCATCTGCCATATTGCAGTTCCCATGTAGTCCTTCATTCCTATTGTGAGCACATGGCTGTAGCCAAATTAGCATGTGCTGACCATATGCCCAGCAGTCTCTATAGCTTGGTTGCTTCCTTTATAATTGTGGGCTTTGATGTGACTTTTATAGCTACTTCTTACAGTCTGATCCTCCAGGCTGTGTTCAACCTCTCCTCCCAGGATGCTCGGTTCAAGGCACTCAGTACATGTGGTTCCCATGTGAGTGTAATGGTCCTTTACTACCTACCTGCTATGGTATCCATCTACATGGCTTGGTTGGGGCAGGACATGGTGCCCCTGCATACTCAGGTGCTGCTGGCTGATTTTTACTTGGTTATCCCTCCTATGCTGAATCCTCTCATCTACGGCCTGAAGACAAAGAGGATCCGGGAGCGGGTGTGGAATGCCATGGCCATCACCCTTACAGGTTCTAATTGTCTGAATCCCAAGAAAGAGAAAAGACCTAAGCAGGTGTTTGCTTTAGGACATAGTGAATCCACATCAGAGGCACAGGAACAAGAGTAAATTGGAACACTGAAATGTTACCTTAATGACCAATATCTACATTCTTTGCCAACTGAATCCAGATAAGTGCTACAATCATTCCTAAATTGTTGGGTTTTTTTTTTCACACTAACGATGACATTTCTAGACACTGAGATAACTAGATTTATTGTCTTGGATGTTGAATGCTTTTTAGTCTTCAAACATCTACTTCTAGTCCCTTTTGAATTGCAAATACTCCTAGGAGGGGTTTAGTAATTATTGTCTATCACCATTCCAACCCTCCTATATTTCACTTCTGAGAACAATCACAGGAGGCTTGGCTGGAGTTCATTTAAATTGTTACTTAATCACAGTGTGTCATAGATTTCAAAGTCACATTAAAAATTAATCTGTTATGGTCCATCTTATGCCCATAAATTGGGGAATAGATAAATAAGTTTTGGTGCATAAACATAATGGAATATTATTGTATTGTAACTATGCATGAATTTGAGGAAGTGAAAAAAGTGTGCGAAGATTCATATTAACAGATGTAGGAAAAATATACATAGTGGTTATAGGAATATAAGCAGAAAGAATGACAATAAAAGAAATGGAGATTGACTAAGCTTGACCCTAGCTAAAAGTTGAGAAAATAAACCTCTCCATTCTCTGCAGAGGTGGAGGCAGAACGGATGTGAAATCTAAAATGTGATATTGGACATGATGGCAGTATTGACCGATTTCTTTGAACAACTCTTTTCTCCATTTCTTTTTTTTTTTATCTTCATTACATGGGATGATTCTCTGTGTGAGGAGGAAGTGGGGAGGAATATGTGATACAAAAACAAAAGATACCAATAATACTTTAAAAATGAGGTCCATCCTACATCTCCTACTGTAAAAAAAACCAGGTAAATGCAGAGGTTAGCAAAAAACAAATAGCAAATCTAATGTATGTAATATGCTGAAATGTTGACTAGAATCAATCATATGGCATGGCAATAAAAACATTAATACAATCTTAGGCTTTAATGAGGGAGACATCCTGTCTAGTTCAAAGTGGTTGATAGCCTCATTATACTTGGTCATAGTCAGACTTCATTCGGATTATTGTGTTAAGAGCTATGCACTAGTTAGAATAAATGACAAGCTGGAGAGGAGGAGAAACAAGGATGCTGAAGTCTTGCTGTATGAGTAATGATGGAAGAACCTGGATGTATTTAGCCTGAAGCAGAGACAGAATAGCTGCTTCAAACATTTTTTTCAGAATTTTACTTTTAAAATTTCTGTGTGATAGGCTAATTAGAGAATATTGGGGTTGGTAGCTTTTGGGCTTATGGATTCAAGAAAACCAAGTATAGAGCTGTTTCATATATGACTGAAGATGAGGCATCAAATCAGTGGCACATATGAGAACACAGCTTCATATATATCTCCCAGCCTAGCATTTCAAGATAGGCACAACTAAAGGCACATAGAGAGGGAATGGGAGATAAGGGAGAAAGTACATGCACAACAATTTGTATAATAGTAAAGAACATGTTCCTTTTCATTGGAAATCTTTGAGCAGAGGCTGGATGGTCATTTATTATATATGCTATAGAAGAGATTCTTATACAAATATATTTGGACTAGACAGGCTCTGAGGTTCTTTTCAAATATGAAATTCTGTGATTGTGTGAAATTAATCATCTGGCAATCAACAAACATTTATTTAATGTTTACTGTTTGCCAGTCACTGTTTTAAGTGAGAGGTATACGAAGAAAGGCAAAGAGAGTCCCTGACCTCAAAGAGTTCATTTTAATGGAGGAAGGCAACATGTAAATAAATAATTCCATATAAGATATGTACAGAATTGATGGAAAATAACCTTTGAGGGGAATATTGTAGTAGCTAAAGGAACCAGGAAAGGTCTCTTGTTGAAGGTGGCTTTTACTCAGAGTTTTGAAGGAGGCTAGGGATTTTAAGAGGTAAAGATGAGAAGGCAAAGAATTGCAGACATCCAAGTGTATGTTGGAACCAGCCCTAACCAGCAACCTAATTGTTAAATTTCCAGTATAAGCATTTTTACTTCAGAAATTGAAAATATGAATCATCTTATTATTTTGTTTTGTTAATTTTTCTTGATTTAAGAAAGTGTTACTAATGCCGATTAAACTTAAAAGTATGTGTGCATATATTTTCCTCCTATTCCATTTACTAGAACATCCCTGAAAAGCCCTATAAACATTATTTGAGTCTTGCAAATGTGCAATAGAAGGCTTAGAGAATGAAGTCATCACCAGACTGGAGGGCTGTAACTATCGGATGATAATAATCATAATGATAATAATAATGATGATGATGATGATGATGATGATGATGATGATGATGATGATAATGGTGACAAAAGTTAGCATTTATATAGTGCTTTAAAGTTTTCAAAGTGTTTTATATCTATTATATCATTTGAGTCCCACAACATCCTTAATTACATCCAGTGCAAAGGTACGATATTGAGAAACAGGGCATTTATTATATGCAAGAATATCTGCTAATCAAGTTGCCTATTGGATAAGGTAATTTAAATTGCTTTGTAAAGTTAGCAAACTGTGAATGCACTAATTTCAAAAAATGATAATCACAGGGATTTCTGCTGTTGGTCATAAAGGCTTCGGTATTCACTTCCCTTCCTTTTCCTCCTCTCAATTTTTTCAAAGCCTTGGGTAGAGGAATTAGGAAGCAGAAAACTGTACACATAAATATGGCCTTTTCTCTAAATTTAATTCTACAATTTAATTAAACAAATGTTTATTATTAAGAATCGCTAGTTTTCTTGAAAACTAGTCTCTCTTGATTCTTGCCCCTTCCCTACCTCAAGTTTTAGTGCTCCCCTAATTACCTTGTTTTCATTTTGAATATATTTTGTATATGCCTATGTGTGTACATGTCCTCTTCCCCAGTATAATGTAAGCTCCATGAGGGCAAGGATTGTTTCATTTCTGACTTTTTATTCTCAGTGCCCAGCACATAGCCTGATGGCATTTACTATTTGATTGATGGATTAATTAATTAAGGTCCCATTATGTGCAATCAATTATCCATGGAATTCTTGACAGGAAATGTATGTGGGCTGATCATTTTCCAAATGTGAAAAATAAAATATCGATAGTCTAATACAATGGCACACCATTTTTCATAAAGTATGAAGAAAGGCAAATGAGAGACACCAAAGTATTGCCTGAATTCAATGTGGAGGATTTACAGAGACACAAAAATCCTATGGGACAAGAAGGTGTGAAAGGTTTCAACATGGACCAGTGATGGGTGTATCTGTATTGTTGAGATGATAGATCTAGTGAAGTAGAGTTGACATTTGGACAAGATATTGTGCTGAGTAGTGAGATTATAGAACTAAGCAATAAGATTACCATATCCCACTTTCAGACCAGAAGCTTCTTGAAGGCAGGGATTTAAAAAATTTGTCTGGATATTTTCCTTGTCCTTCTCACATTCTGCCTTTTATTATAGTTCATCTTCACTATCCACAAGCATTTATTAAACACTTGGTATATGTCAAAAATTGGTGCTAAGCAGTGGAGACACAGAGAAAAGCAAAAACAAAGCCAGTCCTCAAGTTGCTTACATTCTAACAGCATGTATACTTTTTTAGGTATCTATGGGCAAACAACTATGAAAGCATAAAAGCTATACTGTGCAAATGGGAAGCACTAACAGGGAAGGACTAGGAAAGTTTTCTTGCAGAAGTGGGATTTAAGCTGTCTTGAAGGAAGCCAGAATATGAAAAAGGAAAACATTCTAGGCATGGAAATTCACAGATTATGAAAAGGCACAAAATTAGGAGATGAAGTTTTTTGTCTGAGGAACAGCAATGAGGAACAGTGTTGTTGGATTGAAGAGTACTCAGAAAGTAGGAAAGTTTAAGTTGGTCTATGCAAGAGAATTTGAGGGAGAGACCAATTTTACCTGGGCAGAGTAATCAGGGAAAGTTTCATGGAGGAAGGAGCCCCTGCTTGGAGCCCTGAAGGAAGATCGTAGCATAGTGCATTAGAAAGAGTCCTCTGGCAATCAGAGAACCTGGGTTCAAATCCTTTCTCTGGTGTTTACTGACTGTATGACCTTGAAAAAGTCACCTAGCCTCCAGAGGCCTCAATTTCCCAAAATGTAAAATGAGATGGTTGGACTAGATGGTCTCTGTGGGTCTCCCCTACCTCTAGGTCTAGGATTATACATAAATTTCAATGAATGGATTTTGTATCGAATAGCGCTCTACAAGCAATAGATGCTTAAAAATGTCAATTATTTTGTATGATCTCTAGAAACAGTTAATAGCAAATGAAGACAATAATATTAAGCAACAACTAGTCAACTAGTAGTCCAGTTTGGATAGAATGTAGGATGCATGAAGAGGAAAGAGGGCAAAAATTCTGGAAAGGGAAGCTGCAGGCAAATTATAAATTACAGAAGATCCTTCAAATGCCAGACTGATTAAGGAGTTTACATCACATCATAATAGAGAGCCAATGAAGGTTTCTGAGCCAGAGAGTGGCATGGTCAGTTCTGTATCAGGAAGAACACTTTGGAAATTATGTGAGGAATGATAGAGAGGGAAGGGACCAACTGTAGGAAGGCCAATTAGGAGACTATTATATTGCCTTTTCTTGAGTTTAGGCCTTTGTTTCTCATCTGGGTTATTTTGCGTAGAAAGACATTCAGAGAGGTAGGTAAGAGATATTGCCATTGGCTTTTTTCTCATCCGGTTGACAGGTCCAGTTGAATCAAGATGACTAAGAGAGATTTCAAACCTAAGGGAAATGGAAGTTTGGTGGTAGAAGGAATATATCAACACAAATAGAAAGTTTGGAGAAGGGACAGGTTTTGAGTTGAAGATAAGGAGATTTTTTTTGAGGTATCAATGGAACGTCAGGTGGAGAAATCCAGCAGGTTGCTGGTCATGAAAATAAGATCTATTGTTTGATTTAGGTTGCATCCCCTTTGATAATGCTGGCATTTGGTATGAATCATCCCTTTTATG